CATGGGCAGGGACACCTTCCACTAGCCCAGGTTGCTCCAAGCCCCATCCAACCTGGCCTTGGACACTTCCAGGGATGGAGCAACCACAGCTTCTCTGGGCAACCTGTGCCAGGGCCTCCCCACCCTCATGTCAATTTAATAATCAATAAAATTTAATAATTACAGCCACTTGAGGCAATGTAGGAAAATTGGCTGGAGGAGCTCATGGAGTGATTTAAGGCCACATTCTGATTGCTGGACTTCATAAATTATGCTAACTGATGCATAGAAATCCTGTTGATTACTTTACACAGCCTTAAAAGAAAGAAGACAAATGACCCATGTGGGTAGAACGGGCTATAAAAAGATGAAAAAACAAATTCCTTTTCCCACTTGCAAAAGTGGGTTGGGTTTATGCTTTATTTGCTTTTCTCCAAAGACCTGCAATAATGTCACTGGCTTTCTCATAGAATATTCTGAGCTGGAAGGGATTCACTGGAAGGGTCCAGCTCCTGAAAGAAGCGTCCTCATGGATGTTCCTGTCCTGCAGCAGCTGGGCAAGCTCCTGTGTCCGAGCACAATCTCCCCATCACACAGATGCAACTCAAAGCCACTAAAGCCACTGAAGCTTTGAACAGGCCGACCAGGTTCTCTATTTTTGTATCAAGCTGGCCTTTTTCCAAGCTTTTGCCACCAAACTATTGCTCCTGGTGCCCAGGTGCTTTGTGATGCGCTGCTGGAACTTCCCGTTTTCCCAGCGTGAGGGAGGTGTGTGGGGATGAGCTCTGCAGCAGGGCCAGCTCAGCTCTGTGCTGCTTTGCTCTCATGTCAAGCGTGGTGCCAATTTGCATATTTGGGCACTTGAACTTTGCAGATCACTCCTTATGAGCAACAAATAAGGTGTCATTTACGTGCTTGTGTTGAGGAAGTGAGTTAACATTTCTCTTCACGGTGTTCTCAGGATGAAGGCAGGTGTTTTGGCACAGTGCAAGCTCTCATCCCTGCCTCGTGCTGTTTGCCTGTCACCCAGGCTCTACCTCTGAACCTGTAGCTGCTTAATTAATGATCCCATAGATACTGTGGGCTTAAAAAACTGGATGTTTGGGTCACTGGCTTAGGGTGATGTTTTGCTAAGCCCTATTGAATTATTTAGCTTTTTGTTTATGTGAAATCCCTTGTATTTTAGATTAATATAGTCATATATAGCATTAAAAAAAGCAACAGAATTTTTAAAGATCTCATGCCTGAAGGCAGTTCCATTTGGGAAGTTAGTTGAAAAGTGCTTGTTTCAGTGGTTGCAGGATTAGTGGTGGAATATATGATATGGTTGTTCCTTAATGGGGAACAATCCATTATGAGGGTGGGCAGGCCCTGGCACAGGTTGCCCAGAGAAGCTGTGGCTGCCCCATCCCTGGAAGTGCCCAAGGTCAGGTTGGATGGGGTTTGGATCATCCTGGGCTGGTGGAAGGTGTCCCTGCTCAGGGCAGGGAGGTGGAATGAGATAATTCTTTATGTCCCTTCCAACCCAAGCCATTCTGGCATTCTGTGATATCACCACCCCATTTGCAGTAGCTCATTAAAGCTCCTCCCCTGCAGCACAGACAGGGGCAGGGAGAAGGTCCTGGCACTTGTAGGGCAGCATTTCACTTCATAAGAATTCCCAAAGGCACATCCTTTTCCACATGAACCCCCCTGATGCCCCTATGTCTGTGGCAGCACCAGAACCTTCCTTTTCAGCTGTTACCAGTACCTTTTATCTATGGCAATGTTTTTTTTTTTAATGGGTTTCCAGCAAATGGAGCAGTTTTATTTTGTGCAAACCCTGAAAGAAATCAATTCTTCCTCGTTATCATGGAACTGTAGAATGGCTTGGGTTGGAAGGGTTCCCATGTGTTTCATACCATTAAAGCACATACACCTGACATGGAGCCTGGCAAGAAAAAAAAATCAATTTAAAAAATGGGCCCATTTCTCCTTTTTTTTTTTTTTTTGGTAGGAAACTTCCCCACCCCTCCTGTGTCACCTTGGGCAGGTCACTGAGTACTTCTGCACTTGGGTCTTGAATGCAAAAATTCTGAGCTTGTCCTTTTTCCCCTTCCTTTGTTCCATTGATGGGATTTTCTGCTCCCCCAGGGCTGGTAGACACATCCCACTTGGAATTTGTGTGGCATCCAGGAAGAGCAAATTAATTGAGAGCAAATAAGTGGTGTGTCAGCACTACAGTAGTGCAAACAATAACTAATTGTGGGAATGATGTGATGGCACAATGGAGGAGATTTACAGAGGAGAAAGGAGGGGCTAAAACTGGATCTCTGAGTAATTTCCATATTCTGGAGGTGTATTTTATACTGCATCTTGCCCAAGAAAAAGTTACCAGAGAGATAAAAGTCCATGGCATCTCTGTATTTTGATTTTTCTTCATTGCCATGATCATGAGCTGAGCTTTTTTCATTTGGTGGGGCTAGGGATGGGAGATGTGGTACTTTTTTTCCCTTGAAATCGCTGGAGGTTAGCATTCCATAATTATTTTTGTCATAAAGATGAATCCCATCCTAAAAAAGTTGGAAGCTAACAGCACCTCAGCTTTGATATATGAATATTACCACTTTGAATGTTGGAATGCTTTATGGTTTTATGACTATGAGACATTTCTTAGTCTCTGATTCAGAAACACATTTCCTACACATTTTAAAGCAACTTTTGGTCTTTGACTTCTTTTTTTTTTTTTTTTAATTTTTTTTTTTGGCTCATCTTTGATTTCAAAGTGAATTTTAAATGGTAGGATTTTAGAGATGTTCATCACAAAACGAGTAGTCACTTTTAACCCTCTCTAGTTTAATACCCTGCAGTGTCAAGGAAGGGCTGCATTGCATTAATTCCCACAAATTCCAGCTCAGAAATCACGGAGCAGTTGCAATGTGAAATAGTTAATGTGTGTGTTAGTTTTGGTTTTGTTTTTTGCTTTTTTTTTTTTAAATCTGCCTTCCTACCTGTACAAAAATCATGCAGATGTCGTGTTTGAGAGAAGATATTCACAGAACTGTAGTAGTTTCCGAAGTGAAAATAGTATTGTTTCATTTGGAACGTGTTTCTGCTCTCACCCCCAGCCTCCCGAAGCGCCGGTGGTTCTGCACGTTGCGATGAGCTGGTTAAAATACGCTGGGGAAAAAAAAAAAAAGGCAGGAAAATGGAAGACTGCCCTCTAACGTCAACAAAACCAAGGAGAGGGGACTGGAAAGGCAAGGCAAGGAGCGGGGGGTGGTTAGGATTGGCTGTAACTGCTCTGGATAAACAGCATTTTGAGTAGAAAAGCAGAGGAACGTTTGAAAATTCGGGGATTTCAAAGGCATCAAGTGCAGCTGAGATGGCAGGACCCAGAAGAAGCAAAATCAGAGCCTCAAATGCTGTTTGTTTTGCAAATCCTCCCCAGATGAGGCTCCAGCCATTTCCTCGCTGCCTTTCACAGGATGCAGGTTTGGTGTGAGTGAGTCTGTGAGGGCTCGTGGACAAATGGGTTTATTTTAGCAGCAAAATCAGCAGGCACTGGATGGCACAGAACAACCTGGAGCTGCTCTGCAGCATCGGTGGGGCAGTGAGCAGAGAAGAAAAGAGGGCTCATGGTGTTTCTGGTGTTGAACACACAAGGAAAGCCATGAGATGAAGCAGATCCTTGAGGACTGTGGCAGTGAAAACATCTCAGCAACAGCATAACCTCACATCTGTGGGACAGGAGTTGTCATTTAGGGGGCAGGGGTTGTCACTCAGACTAACCAGGGCCCAGCAGAAGGTTTCTTCAAGACCAGGTTGGATGGGGCTCTGAGCAATCTTCTAGTGGAAGGTGTCCCTGTCCATGGCAAGGGTTTGGAACCAGATGGTCTTTAAAGTCCCTTCCAACCCAAACCAGTCTGTGGTTCTGTGACTCTGATGTTTACAGCAGTGAAGTTGCACCATCCCATTGCTGTCAGCTCCTCCAGCTGCCTCTGTTCTCGCAGAAGATACTTCAGGAGGAAAAAAAAAAAAAAAATAGAATCATCAGCAGGAACAACTTCAAGTGTTAATTTGTGGTTGTCAGAAAAGCTGAGCAGAGAGGTTGGACCTGATGATCCACTGTGATGCCTTCCAACCTTACCCGTTTCTGTTCTCCGTGGAAAGGCAGACTCTAAATATAAAATACTTCATGATATACTGGTTGTCAAAACACAGAGGTTATAAAATAAACATGTAGTGGATCTGTTCCCACTTTTTATTGCAACAAATGTACTATAAAAATGCTAAGGATGCCCCAAAGAAAGGAAAGATCAACAGTTGTATTATGAATCAAAGATTATTGAACACAGGGCATGAGTTGGGTGTGAGGTCCTGCTCTATTTACACACACACATCTTTCCTGCCCTCCTGTGATTTCTACACCACCATATTTTTTTGGAGCTGGTTTTCCATTGCTGACCAGGAGCAGATTTCTGGGTTGTTTATGACATTTCTGATTTCACACACTGGTTTCCCACCCACTTCTACTTATCCACGGAGAGAAGGGTTTGGGGAATAAACATGAAACGTGTTTCCACAAACCCTCCAGAGTGCAATGCTTAATTTTATGATCATTCAGCCAGCTCATAGGAATATACACAGGGGAAGAACACCAAGGTGGATGCAAATTCAAACATGATTGAAACATCAATCACTTACTCGCTGAGAAATATTTACCGTGGGTTTTTTTAACTTGACAAAGGAATAATGAAACATGCATCCTAGGGGGTTTCATGGGCAAATTTTAGTCCAAACATTTGCAATTTATGCAGGAATTGTTTGCTCATCAAGTATTGAAAAAGGCCGGGAATGAAACAAAATCCCCAAAGGGGCTTGAAAATGGTCTGGCCAGAAATACCGTCCAAACAGTTTTCCATCGGAAAATGCCAGGTCATAAAAAATGAAGCGATCTGTGGAAATCAATCAATCCTGACAAGTCACAGCCAGGAAGATTTCCTGCCAGCTGTCAGACTCCCCGCTCCTCTCTCTTTTAGGTGTCAGATGAGTGATGCTGCCACATCCCATGTCCTGTGTCTCCCCAACCCTGGAAGCCACCAGGACCTTCAGAGCCATTGCAATTAAGTGTCACTGCGACCTTTCTGTGAAGCTGAATGACACATTCCCACTTTTGAAGTGACATGTGCAGGTTTGTTTGGGTTTTCCCATTTATGAATGTGCATTTTTAATGTCAGGAATCCTTGCACTGGGGTTTCTGTGCAAGAAAGGAGAGGAAAATCCACGATGAAAACGGTGGCACAACCTAGAGGAAAGATCTCCTGGATTCACAAAGGCTTTGGACTCTAAAAGACCAGTCTGGCTCTAAAAGACCAGCACATTTCTTGAAGTTAATAGGTGTTTATTCCTTGTTTTTCAGTGGTTCTCAGATAATCCAAAGCAAGCTGAGCCCTCCTGGTGCTAAAAAGAGAGAGAAGTGCCAGCCTTGGAGAGCTGCCACACGGCTTGGCCATCCCCAAACTGCAGTGCAGGTACTTAGGGTGGGTCAGGAGGCTTTCCTAAAGCTCATTATATCCGCCATGGAGGGATTAGCCCTGCAGCTCCTGCACCTGCACTAATTTAGGGGCGGTGGGAGGGGGGGGATACAACAGTTGGGATCTGCAGTTAATGGCCCTGCTGGCTCTGCACCCAAGATGCCGGAGGTGTTTCTGGAGTATAATAAGCATTTTCTTTCTTTTTTTATTTTTTTTTCTTTCATTTTAGCTATAGCATGGTGTGTTTCCCAGACGTAGAGGAGGTGTTCCAACACGTCTTGGCATCAGTTTTGGGTACATATGTGTAGGCTTAAGATGCCCGTTAGCAGATGGAGCTGGTGCAGATGGCCCAGCTGTCACATATGGGGAGGAGTGTTTGAGTCCTTGGAGTAGGAGTGTGATGTTATTCTCAGTCAGAGGGGTCAGAGGAGCTTTCACTTATCACTCAGGATTCTTGGTACCTGTTATTCCAGGCTGGAAAACTCCGTAAATATCACACGTCACGGCTCGCTGCTGGAAGCTGGAGAGGGGTGGGATTGTGAGAGGTGTTTCCAGCTAAGGCAGCCTGTGTTCTCTGAAGTTATTCCTGATAAATGCTGATTAGTTGTTATCTCTTTTTAATAAATCCCATAAGGAGAGATGCAGCTCTCCTCCACACAGCTATAGGCTGGTTTAAATTAAGATTCAGGAGAGTGATGGGAACATGCCATTACTGGGAGCGTGGGGAGAGCAAGGAAATACTGCCGTGCTCCTGCCTTCCAGAAGCAATTTCTAACCTCTCTTTCCAAGCACAAAACCCACTAGTGGGCAGAAACCAATATTGAATCTGTCATGTTTTTATTTCTTTCTAACGTCTCTGTTTGAAATCTAAACCAACTTGCAGAGAAAAGCAAGGAGCCCTCTAACACAGCAGAAACAACAAAAGGCAATAAAACATCTCTGCGCTCTCCTGACATTCCATAACCTGTTAAAAGCAGCAGAGACTGAGGGGTTTTATGTCTTGTACGGATTTTCTTCGAATTTTAATGAAGGAAACCAAATAACAAGGAAGATTCTTCCACTTTAATAGCTGAACGAGTAGATTCTCTGGAAAACCAGTGGGATAACTTTTATCTTTTCCTAATGAAAACACTGCCACCAGCTGGTTAATAAATGGTTTTGACTGGAGCTTTACACAGAAAGAATTATATTGAGGTTTTTAAACTAGATGTGATATTTTAGGTCAATATGTTTTCAGAATAGAAAGTAATTAATTACCTATATGCTCCATTAGTCAAATAGAAGTGCATGATAATAAAGCAATTAATGCTTTTTACCTTAATTGTCTTGGTCAACAGAAGTGGCCACTACATGAGGCACATTTAACATTTTCCACCTTCATGAACCGGTGTGAGCATCTCAGACTCCACCCCAGCTCAGACACCTCCAGGCTTCATAACAGATTATTTTTAAGCTATTAGTGAAATCATTTGAATTGAGGCACTGAAATCCCTTAAAATGAATTTGCCTTTTCAGATTCATGTGGTTTCTTACTGCTTTTTGGGTTTGTGGTTTGTTTTGTTTAGGTTTTATGGGATTTTTTTTTTTTTTTAAATCTCTTTCAGTCATGAGTTAAGGCCATGAGGAATTTCAGGGCCCCAAACTTTGACCTGAGGAGAATATTTGTAACCCACCAAACCTGAGTTATCACTGAATCATTTAGGCTGGAAAAGACCTACAGGATCATCAAGTCCACTCTGTGCCTGATCCCCACCTTGTCTCCCAGCCCAGAGCACTGAGTGCCACGTCCTGTCCTTCCTGGGACACCTCCAGGGATGGGGACTCCAAACCTCCCTGGGCAGCCCCTTCCAATGCCTGACCACACTTTCCAGGAAGAAATTCCTTCTGGTGTCCAACTTGAAGCTCCCCTGGCACAACTTGCAGCAGTTTCCTCTCATCCTGTCCCTTATTCCCTGGGAGCAGAGGCCCCAAAGTTCCAAATTCCCAGCTGCTTCCAGTCAGTTTTCTTACATTTCTTCCACTTTTCACTTTATTAGCACTAAATCCCAATGATTTTTTTTTAATTTGTAACAGAAGCCATACATTTTTCATTTTAAAATTAAGAAGAAAAATAGCACTTGCTGTACATGGCAGCATTTGAACTGAGCCATAAAACAATAATATAACAATAATGTAATAAGATAGTCACATAAACCTCTCTGATGTGCAACAGAAGCACTACTGGAAGCTGTATGGAGTGGATGGGATCTGCAGGTTACACAATATTTCTCCTCCCAGATTCTTTAGCCAAGAAGGAGGATTGCCCATCCAGCACAGCCTCCTGCAGAGAGGCTGTTCCAGGCACAAAGCTCCTGCCACTGAGGGAAAACTCTCCACTTTAATGGAATTTTTCCTACTTCTTTCAGGACCCCGAAATATACAGTGGGGAAAATAGCAGCAGGCCCGTGGGACGTACGAGTGCTTGCATCACTCCTATTTAAAAGCTGATTTTTCCACCTTAAATTAAAAGCACCCTTTAATTTCCTCCTGTGTGTTTAGCACCATCACACAGCATCACCTTATCCACAATTAAGGCTGAATTCATATTCCCACTGAAGCCAGCCTGAAGTCCTCACATCCCACATTTAAAAAGTGGATTCTGCTGCCAGCTTTAGCACAGGGAATATTTAAAGGAACAGATGGGTTTTCTTTTAAAATATCCAAAGAAATATTTACTGTTTTGCTCAAGGTGTTGTTCTGGGCTTGTTGCTTGCTGTGTTGTAGGATACCCATGTTGGAGGGCACCCAGGAATTCCTGCTTGTTGAACTCCCTTTCCCCACTCATATCAGCATGTTCCTCTCACACTGTGGGGAGCCTCTTGAAGCTGCTCTGTTACCTTCACAAATGAAACAAAAATTCAATTACTGGAAAGATCAGCATCCATTGCTTTGGTGCAGCCAACCAGTGGAAGAGCTTTTATTGATTTCTCCAGAATGTCAATATCACAGTAGAAACACTGCAAGAGAAACAACCTTTTCTTTTCTTTTAACATGCATACAAGCATAGGAAAATGGAAGAGAAACCCTCAGAGCTCCTGTTTTGAAATAGAACTTTCAGCAGTGTGTACTCAGAACAGAGGGGTGATGCAAACCTGCAGGTGCTCCTGGAGATGAATTAAAACTTTCCATCCATGGATGAAAGTTCACCTGTCGATGAAATCTGTCTAACATTCGAAGTCAAAGATCCAGAACGCCTGGGGTAATACTTTAAAGGCTTAGATGGGATATTGGGAAGAAATCCTACCCTGTGAGGGTGGGGAGGCCCTGGCACAGGTTGCCCAGAGAAGCTGTGGCTGCCCCATCCCTGGAAGAGTCCAAGGCGAGGTTGGATGGGGCTTGGAACAACCTGGGACAGTGGAAAGTGTCCCTGCCCATGGCAGGGGTGGAATAAGATGAGCTTTAAGATACTTTCCTACCCAAACCATGTGATGACTCTATGATATGCTGATCTTAAAATCTCTCAGAGTCCTTTTATTAATAATTAAATTGTGATTACTTGTTACCCCACAAGGGCAAAGTCTTAATGAGGAGCAGAGCAGATCTCTGACTGTGACACCAAAAGCCAAGTTGGCAATTACAGATCTTGGTTTCTGTCAGGGTTGAGGTTTGTTCTTAACATATGAGATGGGCATAATTGTCTTGAGAGCTCATTAGGCCTAAATTAATCCCCCTTGCCCTCAGCAGAAAGATGAATTGGCTGAGGACTGGGTCAGGTCTTCATCCATGTAAGTCCCTCCACTGAACTCTTTGCAGGTTTTTTTCTTTACTTGAAAGCAATTCCAACTTTGCATCAAAAATATTTACTTCTTGTACTCTTATACAGGGATCTTTATGTATTCTTTAGCTAAAATCTTCTGGTAGTAAAGGTAAGAACCAAGACAATAAAGCAATTTAAAACTGAGAACTTTTAAAGCTTATTAGATCATTGTGGGGAAATCAACATACTGCATTTTTTTCCTACATAGGCTACAGGTTTCTGCCAAGTTTTACTGTTACATGAATACTGTCAAGGCCTAAATCAATTTATGTTATTGCTTTTAAGGGTGATATAAAACTTTAAATGACTCCAAGTCTTCCACGAGCCCTGTGGTTTCCAACCATAGGAGACCTGGGAGCTCCTTGTGATGCATTATTCTCCCCAAAAAGAGCATGTGCTGCAACCTTCCGTGATGTGAGACCAAATTAATTGCTCCTGTTGTTCCTTCAAAACAAACATTTCTCTAATGATCCAATATCTCATTAGGTAGCACTAAATTACTGGTGTTGCTAAAGAGTGGCTTTCCTAAGGAGGGGCATCTGATTTGTTGTGAGCTGACTGTAGGTCTGGTGCCTTAAGCCATCAGAAAATTGAAATGATTTTTCTGTGCACCTTCCACACTCTGAGTCTGTCCCATTCTTCATATCCACTGAAAAGCCTGAGTGGGATATCACTCTTCAGCAATAACAACAAACAGATTCAAGTCCATCAGCTGCAAAAAGTTAACTCTGGGATGGAATTCAGGACATAAAACATTTTACAGCAGCGGTGCAGGTTATGTCATGTTCTACCAGTAGTCCAATTAATTTCAATAGACCTCTTGAAAAATAAGACAGTGCCAGTGGGGAGAAGAGGGGAGTCATTCCCACAGCTTCACAGAATCATAGGATGTGATGAGTTGGAAGGGACCCACAAGGATCATCGAGTCCAACCCTTAGCCCTGCACAGGATCATCCCCAAGAGTCACACCCTGTGCCTGAGAGCATCATCCAAACACTCCTTGAGCTCTGTCAGCCTTGGTGCTGTGCCCACTGCCCTGGGGAGCCTGTTCAGTGCCAACCACCCTCTGGGGAGGAACCTTTTCTCAATATCCAACCTAACCCTGCCCTGACACAACTTCACCCTTGCAGGGTGAGCACAAGAGTTAAACCCCGTTAAACTCCCGTATGGAAAATCTCCTCTGGGAGGAGAAATTCCTCTC